TGAGCAAGAGTGAGAGCTAGGAGAGGGGTATCTGAATTTGAACCAGGGACCTCTTGGTCTGCAGTCAAATACTCTATACTTGAGCTACAGACATACACCTAAGTAATACCTTTTGCCTATGTAGTCATGCCCAATATTCCTACAAAATGTTGCCACCACTGTTCATTCAGGTTGGTCCTCCTGAAAGCTACCAAGCCTGCCTCACTGCAATTTATCTTCCTGATGCAAAGCAAGCACTAGGTTCCCTTTGCTATAGCCACCTGCCTGCCCTTTCTGGAAAAGCACTGACAATTATAGCCAGAAGGGGCCTGTCTCAGATTTCCTGCAGTCAGGAATCATATTGGGAACTTGTCAAACATGATCTGGCGTTAGGAACAAGCTCCTTATGGAGGGTCAGGAAACCCCACTTTGAGAAACACCTCTCATGGATCTACATCTGCTTCCTTTTTCGCCACCTGCTGGAAGACTCCGGTACTGAAATACCCAAGTAGGGGGATAGGCTGAGAATTCTAGCGCCAGTCTCAGGACTAGTCAGAGCTGGTGGGGATAGCCAGGATTGAAACCAAGGACCGCAGTCAACTGCTCATACTCTGAACTCTGCTGTAGACGAGTGGTCCTTAATTTTATGTGCATCAGAACCCTACCATTCATCTGGAGGGCTTACTAAAACAAAGATGACAGTCCCACCCTAAAAGTTTCTGATGAACAAGTTTTCAGGTCATGCTGATGCTGCTGGTCCGGGGCCATACTTTGAGAGCCACTGCTCTAGACCGTCACCCACCTGGGACCAGACACTCTCACACTGCAGCCACACCGAGGGTGCCTGCTCACCAGTGTTTCTTCTGCATGCCCCGCATTCCCAAAGGTTTCCACGGCTTTACCCATCCACACTCCAGATCTCCTCCCCCTATCATCCTTTCTTTCTTAAAGAAAAGCCCTTCCATTCTCACTCCCGCCCCACTCAGGGTGGTCATCAGACCTCCTTCAAGCTCTCTCTGTCTGTAGTCTCTCCCTCTCCATAGAGACCTGCTAAGGCAGATCCATCTCACTGGATGATGAATTCTGGGTGAATTTACTGACGGGTGGAGTGCAAATCGGCCCTTGGCGTATGTGTGCACAGATCTTTATTCTGTTCATCACTGACAAGTTCTGCCAAGGGAGAAGACACATTCCATTTCATTAACTCGTACTTGGTGAGCTGTGTAGGTGTGAGAAGAGAATGTCGGGGTTGGCTCAGCCTCCCCCAGCTGTATGCAGCAAGGCTGGGCAGTGCCACACAGCAGAGCCTGCTGCTGCTGAATGCTAATCCACATGCTGCTTCAGTTGGAGGAGAAATATGTTTCTTAATCACTGTGGAAGGAAATAGCAAAAATTGTCATTGATAAATGGCAGCCACTAAATATACATTACTTTAGTATCCTGGCCAAAGAAATGGGGAGCAAATACATAATTCTGCATTTCCACACTGACGTGTATTGGCTCTTAGGAGTGCTTGCATGAGTTCTGGAAATGAAAGAGAAGATAAAGCATTTATTCCATGACACTGAGAGGCAGGGCTCAAGTGAAATACCTCAGGTGTACACGTCTCTCACTATTGAGAGACAACTGTTACCACAGTTAAAATAACATATTTTACTTTTTATCCCGATGGAGACAAGACAATCTAAATGTTGTTTGTGCCTCTTGTGTTAAGAAATCCTTCCCTTTCCTGAGAGTATAAAGATTCACATTTTTAATTCAAATAGTTTTAAAGTTTTCGTATTAAGGTCTTTTATTCACCTGGATTCCACCATTCTGCTTGGCAAGGGTTCAAACATGTTTTTCAATATGGAAACCAGTTATTTCAGTACCATATGTTGAATAATTGGGTACTTTCCCCACTAGTTTGTGACTCCGTTTTCAATATATATAGGGGGACCATATATTTATCATCCAGGAAACTTTTGAGGGTGAAAGGAAATGCTATTTCTATTTATGCTGGGACCACAAGCATAAACTGAGCACTTAATGTCCCACGGCAGGAGAAAATGGATATGTCCCAGCTCAACAGAGAGCAGATTCCCCCTTCCTCAGCCTCTGTTCTTCTGGGCCCCTCAACAGACCAGATGACGCCCACCCACATTGGTGAAGTCCATCTTCTTTATGCTAATCTCTTCTGGAAACACCCTCACAGACGCACTTGGAAGTTATGTTGTTTTACCAGCTCTCTGGGCATCCCTTCTTCCATTCAAGTCGACACATAAAATTAATCATCACAGTTTCTCTTTTCATATACCAAGTTCCCACATATGCATGGGCCACATGTCCTGTTCCATTCATTTGTCTGTCTATTCCTACGCTCACTAGTTTGATTACATTCACTTTGTAAGTCTTGCCACGTGGCAGAACATGTCCGACCTTGTTTTCATACCTTAAATTGTCACCGCTGGTCTTAAACCTCTGTTTTTTCAAGTTCTAATAGAGTCCTTTTCAATCTTTGCTGAAATTACAATGAACCACATGGTTGAATTGAAGAGGATTGGCATCTTATAATATTGAGTTCCCCATCCATGACTATGGAATCATCTCCATTAATTCAGGTTTCCTTTATAGCCTTCAGCAAAATTATTTTATAATTTTGTCAATAAAGAATTTATGTTACTTTATTTCTAGTTACCTTATGATTTTTGTTTTTGTTATTAAGAGGATTTTTACCCTAATTCATTATCTAGCTGGTTACTGCTGGTTTATGAGGAATGATACTCATTTTTGTATTTTGATTTTGCATTGAGCAATCTAGCTGAATTATCTTGGTTCTAATGATTTTTCTCTACTTTTAGTGTTGGCAATCATAGTATCTACTAATAAGGACAGTTTGTCTCTTTTCAATCCTTCCTTTCTTTTCATTTTCTTGTTTTCTTATAGAGGCTAGGACCCTCCGTACAATATTGAATAGTAAGGGTGATGATAGGCCTCTGTGTTTATGAATCTAACAGGACTGCTTCTCGTGTATTGTATTTGCTGGAGGTTAATGGGGGGTTCTACTCATCAAGTTAAAGAAATTTATTTCTATTCTTAACTTGCTATGAGGTTGTTGTTTTTTTAAATCATGATTCGTTATTGTACTTTATCAACTTTCTCTTTACCTATTGAGTTGACGTGCTAAGTCTCCTGTAACATGGTAGCAGGTTGATTATGTTGGAAACATGATGGAGGGAGCAACGATTGGTTCTTACTGGAATAAGCACTTACTTAGAATTTAGATTATAGTTTTAGAGTGAAATATGTTCCCTGCATAACAAAGTAATGAGATAAGTAAACTGCACAGGAATGAGAAAAGGCCTCCCCTTTTGCCTTGGTCTTCCATTGCGTATCTCAGTGCCCTCTGTGGTCTCCCTAATGTGAATTTCACTGGTCTTGGATGCCATGTAACATACCCCTGAGATTACTGTCCTTCCTCTAAATCCTTAGTGTCTTTAGGGCCTGTGCCTTTCAGGAAGGACTGGTGTGTGTCCTCACCATGTGAATGAAGGTCTGCGGAGAGAAATAGGCACGTGGACTCTCCTGCTGTGGGGCGGAGGGGAAGAGGGACCTCTGCCCACAGACCATGGGCTGGCGGTAGGGGGCTGTGGGCCTCACCCTAGTTCCTGGTTTGTTTTCCCAGGATTCAGGGGTTTCTGCTACTCTAGTGCTGTCCCCCCTGGGTTCAGCCAAGACCCTAGGAGATGGCCCCGGCAGGGACTAGGCCAGGGAGAGGAGGCAGGAGAGCAGAGGGAAAGATGTGAAGAAGCCAGAAGGGAGGAGAAGGAA